AGGGCTAGCTAGGGGTGCGTGCCGGGAGGGGGTGCAGGCAGGGCTAGCTAGGGGTGTGTGCCAGGAGGAGGTGCAGGCAGGCAGGGCTAGCTAGGGGTGTGTGCCGGGAGGAGGTGCAGGCAGGCAGGGCTAGTTAGGGGTGCGTGCCGGGAGGGGGTGCAGGCAGGAAGGGCTAGCTAGGGGTGCGTGCCGGGAGGGGGTGCAGGCAGGGCTAGCTAGGGGTGTGTGCCAGGAGGAGGTGCAGGCAGGCAGGGCTAGCTAGGGGTGCGGGCCGGGAGGGGGTGTTTCATACCACATTTGGATGAAGTTTGCCCCAGGACAGGGATGCTGCCTCTCCTCCTCCCCACTGCCACCATGCTGCCCCTCCCCACCTCCGCCATGGAGCTGCCGCTGGCAGAACTGATTGGGACCAGGACCCTGCCTCCTGAACTGCTGTGCAAAGCCGAGTGAGGACTGAGGTCAGGGTATCCCCTTCCCCCTGCCCATCATGTATTCAGGCAGGCAGAGTACACCCCCTCACCCCAGCCCCTGTCCAGCAAAGTTGCCCCCACTGTGCCAACTATAGACTGAGTGCCCAGCCAGCCCTGCAGCAACAGCACCCCTGGGCCCTCGGCCACAGCTCCTTGGTGCACACTAGCTCCACCCCTTTTGGCAGACAGCCCCTAGCTACCTCCAGCCTGCACACTGAGCTACACCCCTCCCAGAACACAGCCCCTAGCTACCCTCACCTACACCCCTCCCAGAACACAGCCCCTACCTACAACCTGAGTGACCCCCTGCCTGCACCCTGAACTACACCCCCTCTCTGCACATAGCCCCTAGGTACACCCTCTCTGCACCCTGAGCTACACCCCTCCTCATGCACAGACCCTTGTTACCCCCCTCACCTGCACCCTAAGCTACATTCCTCTCTGTACCCTCAGCTACCCCACTCCCAGCACTCAGCCCCTAGCTACTCCCCCTGCCAGCACCCTGTGCTGGCCCCCGCTCTGCATATAGCCCCAAGCTACTCTTGCCTGCACCCTGAACAACATGCCTTTCTGTACGCTGAGCTACATCACTCCCACCACAGAGCCCCTAGCTACCACTCTGCCTGCACCCTGAGATACACCACTCCCCACACACAGGCTCTAGCTACCCTCTACCTGCACCCTGAGCTACACCGCCTCCTGGCACACAGCCCCTAGCTAGGGTTGCCAGGCATCCAGTTTTCGACCAGAACACCCGGTCAAAAAGGGACCCTGGTGGCTCCGGTCAGCACCACTGACTGGGCCGTTAAAAGTCCGGTCGGCAGCGCAGCGGGGCTAAGGCAGGATCCCTGCCTGCCCTGGCTTTGCACAGCTCCCTGGAAGCAGCTGGCATGTCCAGCCCCTAGGGACAGGGGTGATCAGGGAAGCTCAGCGTGCTGCCCCCAACCCCTGCGCCAGCTTCGCAGCTCCCATTGGCCGGGAACTGCGGCCCGTAGGAGCTGCCAGGGTGGCACCTGTGGGCACGGGCAGCATGCACTGTGTAGAGTCGCCTGGCTGTGCCTCAGCCTACAGCCTGGACCTGCAGCTGCTTCTGGGAGCAGTGCGGAGCCAGGGCAGGCAGGGAGCACCCCAAAACCCCTGCCCCATGTTAGAACCCCCTCCTGTGCCCTAACTTCCTCCCAAACCCCACACCTCAACCCCCTACCCCCAACCCTTCCTGGAGCTTGCACCCCCAACCGCCTACCTGAGCTATGAGCCCCCTTTCGCATCCTGAACCCCTCATTTCTGGCCCCACCCCAGAGTCTATACCCTAGCTGGAGCCCTCACCCCCTCCCACACCCCAACCTCCCGCCCTAGCCCAGTGAAAGTGAGAGAGGGTGGGGGAGAGCGAGCGACGGAGGGAGGCTGGAGTGAATGTGGGTGGGGCAGGGCAACAGTGTTCGGTTTTATGCAATTAGAAAGTTTTCAACCCTGGCCCTAGCTAGCACTCTGCCTGCACCCTGAGCTACACCCCTAGCTACCCTTGCCTGCACCCTAAGGCACTTCTCTAAATGGCACCCTGGCCAGAGTCCACTGCCAGATACTATTCTGAAGGGTGAATTAGAAATGAGTGGGATAGAAGGAAATGAAAGGGATATTACTAAATCAGCAACAGACGGGAGGGACCAGGGAGACAGATGGTGTGTGAATTTCAACCTAGCCCAGTGTAATTCAATGAGGAGAGGTCAGTGCAGGGCCAGATCTAGGTTTTTTGCTGCCCCAAGCAAAAAAAATTTTGGCTGCCCCTGTTCCAGCCCTGGGCTCCTCGCTGCACCCCCCTGCCGCCCCAACCGTGGGCTCTCCCCCACCACCCGCAACCCCTGCTGCCCCAGCCCTGGGCTCTCACCCCCCCACCGCCCCAGCCCTGGGCTCTCACCCCCCACACCTGCACCCTCCTTCTGCCGCAGCCCTGGGTCACTGGTAACTCGCTCCCAGGGCGGGTCATTCAGCAGGAATTTTGGATGTGCACAGAACACAGACAGGATTGGTTCCCATATGGTTACAGAACTGCAGTAAAGTGGAAGAATTTTCAGCTTGTGTGATTGGAGGATATCTGGATGCATATTATAAGATTGTCCTCTATAAATGAGGAAAAGTTGAGGTGCCTTTATTATTCTTTTGTTCCACTCTTTCTCTCTATGGGGAATTTGCCAATGCAATATCACTGTCTTCCTTTTAAACAAACAAACAAACAAAAAAGGCAATGGCTGTTGAAAATAGCAATTCTAGTTCTAATAACCACTGGGAAGCATTTCTTGCTCAATTTTATCCTACCTTTTCTACAGCAAGTTACAATGGATCAGTATATTTGATTTGGGAGAAATGAAGTAACAGCTGCCCAAACTGAGCTTGAGCACTTCTGAATTTTGAGGTGTTCAAATCTGGAAGGCAGGTGCTGGCGGGGAGGGGCAGGGGGCCTGTGGCTCCGCAGGGGAGCACGGCAGCATGTATGCAGCAGCGTGTCTGGTGCTGCGCGAAGCCAGACACGCTGGTCTGAGTGGCATGGTAAGGGGGCTGGGGGGTTGGAGAAGGGGTAGGGGGTTCCAGGGGGGCAGTCAAGGGACAGGGAGCAGGGGGGG